CATTTGCACTTATAGATTATTGAAAATTTTTAAAAGAATAACTTACAGCAGGAAGAGCAAAAAATGAAATGCCAAGAAGGGCGCAAAATGCTGCAATCATTTTACCATGCCATGTTTCCGGTGTCTTATCACCGTAACCAACCGTTGATAAAGTTATCTGTTAATAAAGTTTGCTGTCTTTTCTTTTTTCTTTACCTACTAAATCATTTCGTTCATTTATAGTCTCAACAAACAGAAAATTTCTGCCTATTTTATTAATCAATTTGTTAGTGATAAAGAAAAAAAAGTGAGTTATTAAAGTATTAGAAAAATATTGATAAAATTGATTAATTTTTTAAATTTTATTTTTATTTTTGGATGAGGGAAATACAATTATATTTTTCAATTTGTTTTACTATTGCTATCAAAAAATTTCAAAATTTATCTTTAATATTAAAATAAATAACAAGGAACTTACCACTCCCCACCAAAGAGCATCCGCAAAGGTTGAATATTTCTCATTGGTACTCTTTTCACAAAGGTAAACAAGAAATGAAGAAAAAATAAGTCCAAGAAAACCAATATATAAAGTTGTGAGCAATTCCTGAAATATTTTAAAAGACAATCAAAAAATTTTAATTTTAAATTAATCATTTTTGCTTGTTCGATTAAATTTTCTAAAATTAAAAGTAACAATTTGATTTTTGACTAATAATTTATTAAACATACAGCAAGCTGCGCACTAATAACCACATTCTCACATGCCTACATCATACTATCACGTACGAATAACTCATTTACACACAGACATGCATATTTTCATCTTCTCTTTATCTGAAAAATCAGTCGAAAAAAATGATTTAGTATTTTAATGCTGTAACTTTTTAAACTTTTTTTTTCAAAATTTTTAATATCATTTTGTATCATTAAATAATTAGGAAAATTAGCTGAACCTGACGATGAGCCCAAATAACGGAGCCCAATAATTTCCAAGTACCTGCACGTCGATCTATGCGTAGCATACGCAAAATTTGAAAAAACCTTAAGCCACGTATTGCTGATGCTGCAAATACCTGTAAATAAAAATAAAATATTAAAATTTCACATTTCATGTGTAAGCTATAATATAGAATTTGTGCTGTAAATTTAAACATTGCAACAACGTTGTAATTCAAAAGAGGGGAAAAAAAAACGGGATTTCCGGAATTTCGTTTTGATAACTTTTGAATTCATTGAATTGGTAACTATATTGCTATTAGCAAAAAATTTACATTTTAAATATTACGAACTTTAAAAAGCATTCGCTGCATACTTCAAATTACCAATTAATATATTTTTAAATTTTTGAGAAAATAATATTGGAAAAGGCATCGTTTTTAATTAAAGTGAAAATTTTGATTTTCAGTCAGTGTTATTCGATTTGATTTCCATAAGCATAGTTTGAAGTTAAATCTCAAATATCGCAAAAAATTATAAGCTAAAAAGAAAATGATAATTTTCCAATGATTTACAAAAAATTCTAACTTCAAAAAAAGAATAAATATTTTGAATCAGTAAAATTTAAGTAATTATTTCATCAATATATTAGTAAGAAAAATTTCTCTTCGAAAAAACGAAAAAAAAATTTAACGGAATAGTGTTTGTTAAAAAAATATGTCAACCAAATTTTTCACAATATACTTCAAACATTTTAAAATTATTCAATTTTGAAGCGTTATTTCTAATAAAATCAATCAATAGTATATTTTCAAATCAACATAGTTTAAAATAATTTTTTTAACCAAATAATTTAATCGTCTTAAAAATTTGAACAATAATATAATTAATCATATGGGAATGGTAACAATATGTAACTGTAATTTTTTTCTTTCATCTTTAAATTGCAATAAATTTTGCTATGATAGCTTTAAAAAAAAAGGAAAGGAAATTGAAAATAATGAGAATAACGTTAAAATCGTAGAATATTTTTATTATAAAAATTTTCGAGTTATTACCCTTTTTAAAAGAATTTTCTGAAAATCGTATTTTGTTTTGGAAAATGAAAACAGTGAATGGAAAATTGATTTATTTTATTGTCAAGGAAAAAATTTTTGAACAAATTATTATCCAATTCAAAATTTTCTGAACAGCTTATTTTTGAACAGAATTTAAAGTTCATGAAAGCACTATCTTACAATTTTATTAAAAAAAAAATTGGAGAAATAGTTCATGACGATAATTTGTGCAATATGATTAAGTTACATGTTAATTATTTTCCCACTAATTATTTCCTTTCATTCTATTATTTCTCTCCCTTTA